TATAGAAGTATTCTATTTTATTATATTCAGTTTTAAAAAGTTCAAAGGGAACCTCATCACGGGGTCAAGAGCTGTGGGGAAAAAATGAATGACAGTCTGTTAAATAATCAAACAACAAACAGAACCTGACTGTATCAAACCTTCATCTACAAATGGCTTCATTAAACCCTAACTGATGATTAGTGAATGAGGACATTAAAACAACCAATGTAACAACCAATATTTTAATTTTGACATTTTAAATCTTGCATGTTCATTGAGGAGGTATACCCCTATACTTTGCACATATATTCAATTATTTAGTTTATGTATATAATTATTCATTTTATTTAATTACGTTATAACAAACAAGCATGTGTAGTGCAAATTTGACCCTTTTATTTTGTCTATGTATTAGTGTATGTATAAAGGCATGTTTGGTTGATGTCAAGATAACATTGCCCCCAAACCTTAAATGAGTTAATGTTCACTTAGTAGCAGCACGTGTAAGTAAAATGGTGCTGTCAATGTATAAAACAAAAGCATGCCCACATAATTAAATAAGTTATTGTGGTACACCACTGGTCTACCAATGGCCCAAACCATGTGCTCTTTACCCAGTGATTTACGATACAGATCAGAAGAAAGTTCTTGTATTTATTTGTATAAATAACATGTATGTAGTCAGTTGGGAGCACCTTTAGAATTCACCACCACAACTCATTATGTTAGTTTGTTTTCATCACAAGTCACCTGTCGCTAAGACAAGCAACCAGGGGGTATATTCTGTGAGTACTGTTGGCCATTATGTATACCATATATCACAATAAGACTTGCTGAAGCATGTTGACATTATTAATATTTTCTTGATACATGTATACTGATTGGTCATTGTCACGGACTGTTGTTTAGCCCGTTCAACCTGGTTTTAGAAGCACTCGTAAAAGCATCATGACAGTGACCACTGCTAACATACTGCTGGCTGTTTACTAGACTTGCACAATTCTCTAAGGTAATAATTAATGAGTGATTTAGTTTAACGCCGCACTCAGCAATATTCCAGCTATATGGCGGCAGTCTGTAAATAATCAAGTCTGGACCAAACAATCCAGTGGTCAACAGCATGAACATAGATCTACGCAATTGGGATATGATGAGGTAATAATTAATAGTTTTAAATGATAATTTCTAAATAATATAAATAATGGCATCCTCAGACATCCGGAATTGGGACACCCGTGTTCATATCCTTATCAACATGCCGGCTATATTGCCTTATCTGGGCAGTCCTGTCAAGACTGGAAATGTACCAGGACAGCCATAGAAAACAGAACACTACAGGGTTCCTACAGTTTTGAACAATCGAAGTTATGGCCTTTAGGGGCGTTTCAAGACCCAGTCAATAATTTAAGGAACTATAGAAACCCATAAGACATAAGAAGTTGAAGACACTCAAGGTTGGTCAAATGCGGAACGACCATAAGAGGGAAATAACTCTTACATCCTTGTACTGGGAAGTTTTGCTTCGCGATGGAGATTATTTAACACATTTGTATAAGTACTTTACTAAAAGTTGACACGTTTTGCTAAATATAGGGCCTTTTAGGGCAAATCACTGTCAATTAGGCATTTCCAAATTTCAGGTTTGTTCAAGCCCTGCGAAACCTGCAGAATATCGACATGGGTATCCATACAGTAAAACCTCATTAACCACCAGTTATGAGAGTAAACTGCTCATTTTATATAATTGTGTGAAGCGGACGTTGTATTCCTGTTGTATGTAAACACTCTGAATGGTTGAGAGGCCTCAATTAATGTGAGAAAGATTCTAGGACAAGTCAGTATTTAATGGTAGCTGGCAGGATGTTCTGGAAGTTTCTTCGTTTCCCTACATCAGGATGAATAAAGTAAATAAGTCATAAAAAGAAAGCAAAAAAGGCAACAGTAAGTAGTGTAGACATAAAGAAATACCTTGGGTGTAGGAGTTCATAGTGACAATAACTGGTGATGAGCAGATCGTGAGGCAAATGTCAGCAGAAATTCAGCAATATCACAGAGGTATGATAGCGTCAAAATGGCGGCATCAGAAGTGAAACTGTCGTCATAGCGACGTCATAAATCTCGCGAGATCGTCATAGCATTACGTGACGCTAACGACTGGTTTCATCCGTACCCTGCGCATGTCAGTTTTACGCAGCACTCAGCAATATTCCAACTATGTGGCGGCGGTCTGTAAACAATCGAGTCTGGGCAAGAAAATCCAGTGATCAACAGCATGAGCATCGATCTACGCAATTGGGACACGATGACATGTGTAAACCAAGTCATCGAGATGGTCCCCCGATCCCGTTAGTCGCCTCTTACGACAAGCATGGGTTACTGAAGATCAATTCTAATCCGGATCTTCACTATGTTAGTCAGACAAGAGACGAAGCAGCATCAAAGTCTAACTGCAAACATAATCTGATACTAGTATATGAGATTTTAAGTATATTTCAAACACAACGAATCAAATAGAATCATTCACTGTAGTCGATTGTAAGTTACAAACACTTAGCTATTTTATGATATGTTATCGGTGAAACGTGAGGGCAAAGTGAATTGGTTCCAAGCATAATAGGCACCTCGCGAAGTAAAATGCAAGCACGATGCTGACGATGTCTGGTGAGTCTCTATGCTGTCCCTGTGCTGTAGTTTAGGATAAGGCAAGGGGTTAAGTTCACATGTATTAGCATTATGATCGCTCTCTACAACGGTCTTGGTCTTTACCTTTCTTGAATTGTTTGTTTCAGGTTTGGGCGTTTTTCTGGAACCCCGGCCTGTTGTAAGAGGCAACTAACGGGATCGCATGGTCAGCCAACCTACTTGGTAGAGTCCAGACACATTATGACATTCGTTGGATTCCTGGATCAGATTATTATTATCATTATTGACATCGCCGCCATTGTACTGAAATATTGGTGAGCGTGGCGTTAACCCTCTTGGTGCCACGGATCAGTGTATGGTCCTGTGAACATGTTCCCTTCCAACTGCGAATTATGATGCCAAACACGATTACGCAAAAGAAAGATAATAACCCCCATTATTCTAATTGTCATCTGAGCTTTAACACCGCGTTACTCGGATTGTGAGGTTAGAAACGCGTGGTTCTCTCCCTTTACCGCCATATTTAAACGTCAAGCAAAACACGTCGAATTATTATTTGGCACCCATGTCACATACACCTGTAGGGTTGCCAAGTGGTTAAAGCGTTCGTTTGTCACGCCGAAGACCAGGGTTCGATTCCCGGTATGGGTAAAATATGTGAAGCTAATTTTAGTGTCCCCGCAGTGATAATGCTGGAATATTGCTGAAAGCGGCTTAAAACCTAACACTCTACTCACTCACTTACCTACTTATCAATTTGGTTGGTTTGTTGTTTAACGTCGCACTCAGCAATATTCCAGCTATATGGCGGCGGTCTGTAAACAATCGAGTCTGCATATTCCAGTGATCAACAGAACGAGCATCGATCTACGCAATTGGGATACGATGACATGTGTCAACAAGTCAGCGAGACTGACCACCCAATCCCGTTAGTCGCATCTTACGACAAGCATGGGTTACTGCATGAAGACAACCTCAAACCCGTTTGTTTCATATGAGGGGCGGTGGGGAAGCCCTGTGGGGATAGCGTTCGCTTGTGACATGTTCGATTCCCCACACGGTTACAATGTGAAGCCCAGGTCTGGTGTCCCCCAACCGTGGTATTGCTGGAATATTGTTAAAAGCGGAGTAAAACCCAACCCACTGACACCCAGAATGCCAAAAACAAACAAAGCCATCAAAATATATTTGAAAAAGACCATGAGTGAATAATATTGCAGCTATTGGACTCAGGTAAGGTGGAAATACCTGACATTACAACAGACAATGTAACCAGTTTTTGTTTTGCTCCAATTAATGGTTTCTAAATTATGGTCATAAAGACGTTCTTTCTTTTCAGAGACAAAACAAATCTGCAGGGCTATAATTGGCTATAATTGTTTGGAATTTCACAACACAATTACAGATTCTTATCACCCATCACTGACATGCCAGTAAATGTTCGTGTGGCAGAAATACCTACTGCGCCCAGTTCCTCTTCAAAGACCCTTAACTGCAATTTCGTTTAATTATCACTCCCACTTCTTACCTGAGAAGGAGTAAGTTTTGGTTTTACACCGCTTTTAGCAATATTCCAGCAATATCACGGCGGGAGACACCAGAAATGGGCTTCACACATTGTACCCATGTGGGGAATCGAACCTGGTCTTCGGAGTGGCGAGCGAACGCTTTAATCAATAAGCTACCCCACCGCCCCTATACCAGAGAAAGAATGAAACAGCTGAAGAATATAGAGACTTTCTATATCACTCTGTCTTCAATGTAATTACACCTGTTGTCGGAGCACTATAGAGTCGGGGACAGCGAAGGAACAGAAAGTCTTGACTCCTGAGTCTTGGGGAGTGGTTTGGGACTCCCCATGTACCAATACTAAACACAGATGACAACTTGACATTAACTCATAATTACAGGCTCTGTCTTCACTTGTGAATTCAGCAGATTTGTACAGACCCTGAAACTGATAATATGGACTTGCCACGCATTCTACCTTGTATGGGCTACCCTTTTGTTTATTTGTCTCAGGGTCTGCATGGCAGACTACCTTTACATAATGACAAAAACGAAACGGGACTTAACGGTGGGTGTATCACGCAGACATTGTGATCATCCAATCCTTATTAGACCGGGGAGGATGAAAAGTGGGAAAACTCGATGTTTCCGTGGCAGTGTCACTAGTGAATCCTTTGGGCCCCCTGAAGGAGTGACAGTACCATACCCGTACGTGTCAACGACTGCATCACTTCAGGATTTCCAAACAGACGATGCTCACAAACCGACACACAGACAAAGGGGATTGACCCACATTCACTCCACTCACACAAGTGGTAGTTACACCAAAACATTTTATACTGAGCTATACAGAAACACATCAGTTTCGTTTCCACATATTTTATTGCATTTCAGTGATACATGTTCACGACAGGCACGATACATGAACTGGAGAGGTTCGCTTTGACGATGGCTGATCTGCGATATAACTCTCTGGGAGAAGAGGGCTGCCTATCTTCAACCTGTGAACAGATAAGTAACTCATCAAAATCTCTGATCAAAGCAAGGTCCATTGCATGTTCCCGACTATATCATACGTGTCTATGAAACACTGTCACTCCAAATATAGGATTTCTTGAGTCCTGCTTTATTCATTGCATGCAACGTACTATGAACATTGTCCCTTCAATGGTCTCTCTTTGGAATCTCTGGGAATATTTGAAAAAGATCGCCTAATTTTTTACGTTTATACATTTAATGCACATTTTGACACAGGTATAATCCAATATAGATACAACTATTGGCATGTTGATGGAGCAGTGCGTGAATGTACGTATCACAATTGACTTCTAATATTGTTACTTTTCACCTAATGGTTTGGGGTTTCGCATGGAGATCTTGATTAACGTGGTGTCCAGTACCGCCACTACCTCCACAAAACGGAATCATGCAGAAATACAACTTAAGAACCCCATGGACAAAATCTATTTAAAGACTGCAGGGTAGACGACAGCTTTCACCGCCACCCTGCTCTGACGTCATGGCCATGATGAGTAGTTGCTGAGGCAGGCAAGTGATGTTTTCACTGGTCCAATCATCACTGCAATATATTTACTCACACACAGACATATGCATATTCAAGGGACACTACAGTGTCGGCCACTGTCAGTATTGTATTCGTACCCATCGTCCTGGTATGGTACCAATATCTGACTCTAAAAGCGGGGACAAACCACACTCACTCACTAACACGTAGCAGAGGGCATCAAGGACATAGGACCAACTACTCAGATTGTAGTACAGTTATAGATCTGATAGATGAACGGGTGACCACGGGATTTGTCGTAGAAGTGCAGTGGCATTGCTTAACCTAGCAGGGGTCGATGAGATGACCTAGTCACTTATTTTGAGGGTTATACTTACATTGTAAGAAAAATGAGTGTATATTTTCAAACATAGGTATTAACTAATTAAAACAGTTCACTTTGATTCGCATAAGAATAAATGTGATTTATTCGTGTACACTTCCCCTTTAACCTAGCGGGGTCGGTGAGATGACCTAGTCATTATAGTGTGCGCGCCTCAGACATCCGGAATTGGGACACCCATGTTCATATCCTTATCAACATGCCGGCTATATTCCTTATCTGTGCAGTCCTGTCAAGACTGGCAATGTACCAGGACAGCTGTAGAAAACAGAACAGGGTTCATACAGTTTTGAACAATCGAAGTTATGGCCTTTTAGGGGCCAAGACCCAGTCAATAAATTGAAGGAACTACAGAAACCCATAAGACATAAGAAGTTGAAGACACTCAAGGTTGGTCAAATGCGGAACGACCATAAGAGGGAAATAACTCTTAGTTACATCCCTGTACTGGGAAAGTTTTGCTTCGCGATGGAGATTATTTAACACGTTTGTATCAGTAGTTTATTAAAAGTTGACACGTTTTGCTAAATATGGGGCCTTTTTTAGGGCAAATCACTGTCAATTAGGCATTTCCAAATTTCAGGTTTGTTCAAGCCCTGCGAAACCTGCAGAATATCGACATGGGTATCCATACAATAAAACCTCAATAACCACCAGTTATGAGAGTAAACTGCTCATTATTATACAATTGTGTGAAGCGGACGTTGTATTCCTGCTGTATGTAAAACACTCTGAATGGTTGAGAGGCCTCAGTTAATGTGAGAAAGATTCTAGGAGAAGTCAGTATTTGATGGCAGCTGGCAGGATGTTCTGGAAGTTTCTTAGTTTCCCTACATCAGGATGAATAAAGTAAAATGAGTCATAAAGGCAAGCAAAAAGGCAACAATAAGTAGTGTAGACATAAAGAAATACCTTGGGTGTAGGAGTTCATAGTGACAATAACTGGTGATGAACAGATCGTGAGGCAAATGTCAGCAGAAATTCAGTAATAGCACAGAGGTATGATAGCGTCAAAATGGCGGCATCAGAAGTGAAACTGTCGTCATAGCGACGTCATTAATCTCGCGAGATCGTCATAGCATTACGTGACGCTGACGACTGGTTTCATCCGTACCCTGCGCATGTCAGTTTTACGCAGCACTCAGCAATATTCCAGCTATGTGGCGGCGGTCTGTAAATATCGAGTCTGGACCAGACAATCCAGTGATCAACAGCATGAGCATTTTGACACGATGACATGTGTAAACCAAGTCATCGAGATGGTCCCCCGATCCCGTTAGTCGCCTCTTACGACAAGCATGGGTTACTGAAGATCAATTCTAATCCGGATCTTCACTATGTTAGTCAGACAAGAGACGAAGCAGCATCAAAGTCTAACTGCAAACATAATCTGATACATGAGATTTTAAGTATATTTCAAACACAACGAATCAAATAGAATCATTCACTGTAGTCGATTGTAAGTTACAAACACTTAGCCATTGTATGAGATGTTATGGGTGAAACGTGAGGGCAAAGTGAATTGGTTCCAAGCATAATAGGCACCTCGCGAAGTAAATGCAAGCACGATGCTGACGATGTCTGGTGAGTCTCTATGCTGTCCCTGTGCTGTAGTTTAGGATAAGGCATAGGAGTTAAGATCACCTGTATCAGCATTAAGATCTCACTTTACAACGCTCTTGGTCTTTTACCTTTCTTGAATTGTTTGTTTTCAGGTTTGGGCGTTTTCTGGAACCCCGGCCTGTTGTAAGAGGCAACTAACGGGATCGCATGGTCAGCCACCCTGACTTGGTAGAGTCCAGACACATTATGACATTCGTTGGATTCCTGGATCAGATTATTATTATCATTATTGACATCGCCGCCATTGTACTGAAATATTGGTGAGCGTGGCGTTAACCCTCTTGGTGCCACGGATCAGTGTATGGTCCTGTGAACATGTTCCCTTCCAACTGCGAATTATGATGCCAAACACGATGATGCATGAGAAAGATAATAACCCCCATTATTCTAATTGTCATCTGAGCTTTAACACCGCGTTACTCGGATTGTGAGGTTAGAAACGCGTGGTTCTCTCCCTTTACTGCCATATTTAAATGTCAAGCAAAACACGTCGAATTATTATTTGGCACCCATGTCACATACACCTGTAGGGTTGCCAAGTGGTTAAAGCGTTCGTTTGTCACGCGGAAGACCAGGGTTCGATTCCCGGCATGGGTAAAATATGTGAAGCTAATGTTGAGTGTCCCCGCAGTGATAATGCTGGAATATTGCTGAAAGCGGCTTAAAACCTAACACTCTCACTCACTTACCTAATTATCAGTTTGGTCGGTTTGTTGTTTAACGCCACACTCAGCAATATTCCAGCTATATGGCAGCGATATGTTTGATTGGCATTTTGAAGTTGGTGACTAATAAGAAAGTAAGAAAGTTTATGGATAACAACTTCTTTATTATATATGATGCGACGTTTCGGTATCGATTCTTATACCGTTGTCAAGCAAGAGTGAAGTACTACAGCACAGAACAGACTTATATACATGAACAGGGATTAAGTAATAATTCTTACTTTCTTATATTGCGAAGGTCTGTAAACAATCGAGTCTGCATATTCCAGTGATCAACAGCATGAGCATCGATTTACGCAATTGGGATACGATGACCTGTGTCAACAAGTCAGCGAGACTGACCACCCAATCCGTTAGTCGCATCTTACGACAAGCATGGGTTACTGCATGAAGACAACCTCAAACACGGTTGTTTCCATATGAGGGGCGGTGGGGAAGCCCTGTGCGGATAGCTATCGCTTGTGACATGTTCGATTCCCCACACGGTTACAATGTGTGAAGCCCAGTTCTGGTGTCCCCACCGTGATATTGCTGGAATATTGTTAAAAGCGGAGTAAAACCCAACCCACTGACACCCAGAATGCCAAAATAACAAACAAAGCCATCAAAGATATTTGAAAAGACCATGTGTGAATAATATTGCAGCTACTGGACTCAGGTAAGGTGGAAATACCTGACATTACAACAGACAATGTAACCAGTTGTTGTTTTGCTACAATTAATGGTTTTCTAAATTATGGTCATAAAGACGTTCTTCTTTTTCAGAGACAAAACAAATCTGCAGGGCTATAATTGGCTATAATTGTTTGGAATTTCACAACACAATTACAGATTCTTATCACCAATCACTGACATGCCAGTAAAAGTGTGTGTGACAGAAATACCTACTGCGCCCAGTTCCTCTCTCCAAAGACCCTTAACTGCAATTTTCGTTTAATTATCACTCCCACTTCTTACCTGAGAAGGAGTGAGTAAGTTTTGGTTTTACACCGCTTTTAGCAATATTCCAGCAATATCACGGCGGAGACACCAGAAATGGGCTTCACACATTGTATCCATGAGGGGAATCGAACCCGGATCTTCCGTGTGACGAGCGAACGCTTTAATCACTAGCTACCCCACCGCCCTATACCAGAGAAAGAATGAAACAGCTGAAGAATATAGAGACTTTCTATATCACTCTGTCTTCAATGTAATTACACCTGTTGTCGGAGCACTATAGAGTCGGGGACAGCGAAGGAACAGAAGGTCTTGACTCCTGAGTCTTGGGGAGTGGTTTGGGAACCCTCACCATGTACTAATACTAAACACAGATGACAAGCTTGACATTAACTCATAATTACAGGCTCTGTCTTCACTTGTGAATTCAGCATATTTGTACAGACCTTGAAACTGGTAATATAGACTTGCCACACATTCTACCTTGCATGGGCTACATTGGGTTTACTTGTTTCAGGGTCTGCATGGCAGACTACCGATTACATAATGACAACAAAACGAAACGGGACTTAACGGTGGGGTTGGGTGTGTGGGGTGTGGAGAGGTGTGTGCTGGTTCCCAGTTGAGGCATTATTCATTCATTACCCATTAAGACACTACGTCACGAGCCAGGAAGGGAAACAACAAACAGTGAGAGAATTGCACACACACAAAGTCTTGAGCCAAGAGTGGAATGATCATACATAATCATTATGTCATCATCCATATCACGCAGACATTGTGGCCACCCAATACTCACCAGGCTGGGCGTTTCCGGGACAGTGTCTAGAAGTGAATGCTTTAGCGTGTACCACACAGTGACTGTATCGCTTCAGGATGTCCTCCTATACACGTGTACCACACAGTGACTGTATCGCTTCAGGATGTCCTCCTATACACGTGTACCACACAGTGACTGTATCGCTTCAGGATGTCCTCCTATACACGTGTACCACACAGTGACTGTATCGCTTCAGGATGTCCTCCTATACACGTGTACCACACAGTGACTGTATCGCTTCAGGATGTTCTCCTATACACGTGTACGACACAGTGACTGTATCACTTCAGGATGTCCTCCTATACACGTGTACCACACAGTGACTGTATCGCTTCAGGATGTCCTCCTATACACGTGTACCACACAGTGACTGTATCGCTTCTGGATGTTCTCCTATACACGTGTACCACACAGTGACTGTATCACTTCAGGATGTCCTCCTATACACGTGTACCAGACGGTGACTGTATCGCATCAGGATGTCTTCCTATACACGTGTACCACACAGTGACTGTATCGCTTCAGGTTGTCCTCCTATAAACGTGTACCACACAGTGACTGTATCGCTTCAGGATGTCCTCCTATACACGTGTACCCCACAGTGACTGTATCGCTTCAGGATGTCCTCCTATACACGTGTACCACACAGTGACTGTATCGCTTCAGGATGTTCTCCTATACCCGTGTACCACACAGTGACTGTATCGCTTCAGGATGTCCCCTATACACGTGTAGCCACAGTGACTGTATCCCTTCAGGATGTCCTCCTATACGAGTGTACCACACAGTGACTGTATCGCTTCAGGATGTCCTCCCATACATCTGTACCACACAGTGACTGTATCGCTTCAGGATGTTCTCTCTATACACGTGTACCACACAGTGACTGTATCACTTCAGGATGTTCTCCTATACCCGTGTACCACACAGTGACTGTATCGCTTCAGGATGTCATCCTATACACGTGTACCACACAGTGACTGTATCACTTCAGGATGTTCCTCCTATACCCGTGTACCACACAGTGACTGTATCACTTCAGGATGTCCTCCTATACACGTGTACCACACAGTGACTGTATCGTTTCAGGATGTCCTCCCATACACGTGTACCACACAGTGACTGTATCGCTTCAGGATGTTCTCCTATACACGTGTACCACACAGTGACTGTATCGCTTCAGGATGTCCTCCTATACACGTGTACCACACAGTGACTGTATCGCTTCAGGATGTCCTCCTATACACGTGTACCACACAGTGACTGTATCGCTTCAGGATGTCCTCCTATACACGTGTACCACACAGTGACTGTATCGCTTCAGGATGTCCTCCTATACACGTGTACCACACAGTGACTGTATCGCTTCAGGATGTTCTCCTATACCACGTGTACCACACAGTGACTGTATCGCTTCAGGATGTCCTCCTATACACGTGTACCACACAGTGACTGTATCGCTTCAGGATGTTCTCCTATACACGTGTACCACACAGTGACTGTATCGCTTCAGGATGTCCTCCTATACACGTGTACCACACAGTGACTGTATCGCTTCAGGATGTCCTCCTATACACGTGTACCACACAGTGACTGTATCGCTTCAGGATGTCCTCCTATACACGTGTACCACACAGTGACTGTATCGCTTCAGGATGTCCTCCTATACACGTGTACCACACAGTGACTGTATCGCTTCAGGATGTCCTCCTATACACGTGTACCACACAGTGACTGTATCGCTTCAGGATGTCCTCCTATACACGTGTACCACACAGTGACTGTATCGCTTCAGGATGTCCTCCTATACACGTGTGTACCACACAGTGACTGTATCGCTTCAGGATGTCCTCCTATACACGTGTACCACACAGTGACTGTATCGCTTCAGGATGTCCTCCTATACACGTGTACCACACAGTGA